GGGGGTGTGGGGGGGGTGGCGGGAGCGCGCGGGGCGCGTGCCCGGTGCCCGCCCGGTGCGCGCGCGTGCCCGGCGCGTTCCCGGTTCCCCGATTCCCGGTTCCCGGTTCCCCCGTTCCCGATTCCCGGTTTCCCCGTTCCCGGTTCCCGGTACCTGCCATGCTCCGCTCCCGCCGCTCCCGCCTGTCCCCCCGGCGCGCGCGGCGGCGGCGGCGACAGCGACACGTGACGATGGGGCGGCCCCGCCCCTCCCGGGGGGGGGTCGGGGGGGGTGAGGGGACACTGGCACGGGGGGAGGGGGGACAACACGGGAGAGAGGAGGTGGGATGGACACACAGCCACGCAACCCACCGCGCCGCCCGGGGGGGGGGGACACACCGGGGGAGATCGGGGGGTACCGGGGCACTGAACGCCCCCCCCACCCCGGATCCTCTGCCCTAATCCCGGTATCCCCTGGACAGACACCCAGGGACCCAGCACCGATTGCCGGCACTGACTCCGCTATCCCCGGGCACTGTCCCACCCTGGGACCGACCCTCCCGGATCCCCCCCGGGGCCGCCCCCGTGCCCGGTGCCGGTTCCCGGTTCCCAGTTCCCGGTGCCGGTTCCCGGTTCCCAGTTGCCGGTGTCGGTTCCTGGTTCCCAGTTGCCGGTGTCGGTGTTCTTTCCCGGTGCCGGTTCCCAGTGCCGGTTCCCGGTCCCTCCCCGCAGGGTTACCGGAGGGGGTGGGCCGGGCTGTTGGGGCTCACACTCGCCTTCTCCGGGGGGGTCCCGCGACTACGATGTACGGGGGGGTCCTCCGGGCAGGACCCCCGGGACTGGGACCCCCGGGTGGGCTGTCCTGGCGGGGACTCTCGAGATTCCCCCAGGTCGGATCCTCTCCCCGAGGCTGGAGACACCCCCAGGCTGAACCCCCTCTGGTTGGGCACCCCAAGGTGGGACCCCCTTGTCTGGGACCCCCCTCAGGGTGAGACCCCCCAGGACAAGAACCTTTGGGTGGGACTGGAGGGGCCTTCCCAGGCCGGGATTTCTGGGACTCCAAGGTGGGACCCCAAGATTGGCAGCCCAGAGACACCCCTGGGCCAGGACCCCCTCGGGGTGGGCACCCCCAGGATGAGACCCTGGCACTGGGAGCTCTGAGAGACCCCCTGGGAGAGAACCCCGTGCCCCGCTGAGCCCCCTCGTGTCTCCAGGTGCCCTGGGGGTGCCACCCCCCACCCCAATCTCGCCCCCCTCCCCCCCCGTGCCCCTCCCCACGCCCAGGTCACTCCTACATCCCGATTTATTCAGGCCAAAGCAGCTCTCAGTGGCAGGAAGGGGGGGTAGGGGGGGCACAGAGTGGGGAGAGGGGGGGCTGGCACAGCGCTCTGGGGGTGCCTGGGGCGTGTCTGGGGGTACATTCAGTGCTCGTGCCCTGGGGGAGGGGGGTGCCCGTGGAGGGGGCACGGCTCTCAGGGCAGGCTGGAGCTGCTGGCAGTGCTGTTCCTCTTCTGCAGGCACCGCACGGCGCTGGGCACCTGCAGGCCCGAGGTCACCTGGAAGCTGCCACACCACACCTGTGGGCACAGGGAGGGGCTGTGAGGGGCTGTGGGGGGTTTTGGGGGGACACAGCCCTGCCCTGCCCTGCCCTGCCCACCCCCTACCATGAAGGCTGGCAGCACGGGCTGCGTGAACTTGGCCTTGAAGGTGTGGAGCAGCTGCTTGGTCCGGGCGTTGTAGAAGGACAGAAAGCCTGTTGGGGGACAGGGGAGGGGGGCACAGGGTGGGCACGGAGACGGCAGAGCCCCGGCACGGCGCCCGCGGTGGTGGCAACGGCCGTGGTGGTCACACTGGTGGCCACGGTGGGCACTCCGGTGGCCACATGGGTGGCTGCGGGGCTGGCAGTGCCCGTGGTGGACATGTTGGTGCTCGCGGGGGTGGTCTTGGCCAGAGTGAACACTCTGGTGCCCGCGGTGGGCGCGCTGGTGGCCGTGGTGGTGGCAATGCCCACGGTGGTGGCAATGCCCACCGTGATCTTCCTGGTGCCCGTTGTGGTGGTGGCAATGCCCACAGTGCCCACACTGGTCCCCATGGTGGTGGTGCTGATGCCCACAGTGGTGGGACACCCCCGTGCCCACCCCCCCCAAGCCCACCCACCTTCGTGGAAGTTGCAGTAGACGCCGATGCAGTCGG